ACCAAAAATAATGAACTATAAGCCTCCCAATACGGGTTTCAATAGTGAACTGCAAATCTGACGATCGAGCCGAATATATTCATTTTTAACATGAGGCTTGGCACACTGGCGGCCCCAGCATCCCAGCAGCTGCTGACTGGGGAGGGGGATGAGGAAGCCGCCAAAAGTCTGGCTAACTGATGTTCGGTAACAAACGGTTCTATTTCTTTTCACGATACTGTGTGCATGGCCTGCATTGGCCCCGGCTCCTTGTATTCACCAGTGGTTCAGTAGTAATTTTCTTAATAGCAATGTACTCAAACCTATGGAATGGCAACAACCATAGATCGACTTCACCTAAAGAAACCTTCAGTCACCTAAATTCAGTTTAACCAACAGAGTCATAGATGACAGCCATTATGTTCAGGCCAAAGAATTGTATACAAGTATGACTGACCACACAAAAGATGCAAAAAATTCAAGCTCCACACAACAGATGGAATTGGGGGGGGGGGGCGTCCGGACTAGTCATGGTCATCGGCGCACAACTGATTCAGCGTTAAGGTATATCATTACATCATTCCCCAGGTGTCACAATGTTTTGATTTTTGAAGATTATAGTTATGTGAAACAGATCAAGTATAAATGGTTTAGTTAAGTACCTTGCTTATTAGCCCCAAGTCCAGATCAAGATGAAGAGTGTCAAGTGTTAGTGAAGCTTTTTGGGCAAAACTACAGGCATGAGTAGCCGGTAGTGACTGATCACACCATGAAAATAGCAAAAGTGGTTCAAAAGAGGTCAACTTGTTACTTATCAACATGTTAGCTGTCACCAGCTGCTAGCTGACTGTCATGTCAAAAAGGGTTACATGTCATGCCACAGGATATCAATACATGACCTATTCAAATGATACTAGCCAACAGCCTATCGGAGGCCAAGTACAACTTTGAGCACAAACTGGCTCATGAAATCAAATCAGATCCCAGAGCTTTCTTTGCCTACGCCAGGAGCAAGACATCGCTCAAGGAAGAAGTTCTGACAGTGACTAAAGATGACGGGAGCTTGACAACATCATTGGAAGAGACTTGTGATGTAATGAACCAGAAGTTCCAGGAAGTGTTTACCAACACAGAAGGAATAATGCCACCAGCTGTGACTCAAGTTACGGGAGCCAAACTCGAGATATGCGATATAGACTTAGATGAGGTAATGACTCTGTTGAAAGGACTTAAGACACCATCATCACCTGGACCAGATGGCCTACACCCCATCATGCTCAAAGAGTGTGCACTCAGCCTTTCAAAACCTCTACTCAGCATCTTCAATAAGTCGTTAGAGTCTGGGGAACTGCCAAGAGACCGGAAACAAGCAAACGTTACGCCCATCTTCAAAAAAGGGAAGCATTCTGATCCCTTGAATTACCGCCCAGTCAGCTTGACATCTGTTGCATGCAAGGCTCTTGAGAAACTGATCAGAAAGAGGGTGGTTGAACACTTGGAGATGAACAATTTATTGAGCAGTCATCAGCATGGTTTCCGTACAAAAAGGTCCTGCCTCACACAGCTACTGGAGTACTTCTTTGACCTCGAAAATGCCCTCGATGAAGGTGAGAGTGTAGATGCCCTTTACATGGACTGCCGAAAAGCTTTTGATACGGTTCCCCATGAACATCTCATTGCCAAGATTCGAGGAATGGGCATTAGGGCGACAGTTATTTTCTGATTTTTTGAAAAAGCAAAAAGGCAGTTCATTTTATGGTTCCATATAGCATAAAAAAATCACATGCAAAGTTTAATCCGGATCGGATTTTATTTAACCGTGCCTCCTCGAACTTGAATGTGTACGCTTTTAGCCATTGGGCCAGCAGTGTAGACCTTTCTGGTATGTAAACCATAAGCAGAGTTTCTCAGCTATTCATAACGATGCAATCATAAAACAAAAGACACGAAAACTACACGAAGTACACGAAAACTAGTGATGTATTGTAAAACGATTAAAAAAAAACTGAGATAAGACTCAATACGTCTTGTGGAAGTTGGCAAACTTGGACCTCCTGACGAGTCTGAGCATCTGCGTCGAATGCTATCGCTCATTACTGCAGATTCCGGGTGACGGTGCCTTTATTAGCGTTCGGAAACTTTCCATGGTGTGCCTCCACCGCCTGCAGGTTGTACTGCCTCTGGTCCTCAACCTAGGTGAGGGTCAAATTGTACGTTTCCATCAGAGCGACGCCACGCTCGGCGAAGTCGTTCACCACCGTGATGCCGTTGGCCTTCCCGCTGCGGCGACATAGCGGGGGTCGTCATGCCACTCGGCAGGGTCGGTCTCGAGGAAGCCGTCGTCAATTCCAAGAGTGACGAAGAACGTCCGCGACGATGGGGTCACGAAGTTTGCGAGGGTCTTCTGCGTCAGGTTTGCGCTGAGATCAACGACGGCCCGCTTGGTAAAAGTCCTACGAGCCCTCGTTCGAGGCGAGGGCCTCAACAATGGCCCGCCTTCCATGCAGTGGTAGGCTCTCGTCAAAGAACGCCAACGGGACGAGGCCGTCACTCAGATACCACAAGTGACGTCGGACGAAGCCGCTGAAGAGCGTCTTGGCGAGGGACTTGTCCTCGTACCTGGCCAACGTCTTCAGAAGGGAGAGGTCGTTCTTAGAGGCCGATGTTGGGCTCGGCGCGGTGTACCACGCGGAAATGTAGACCGACACGGCAAACTTGACGAATCAACGACCAAGAACGACCTCTCCCTTCTGACGAAACCCCCTAAGAACGACCTCTCCCTTCTGAAGATGTTGGCCTGGTACAAGGACAAGTCCATCGCAAAGACACTCTTCAGCGGCTTCGCCCGACGTCACTTGGGGTATCTGAGTGAGAGCCTAGTCCCGTTGGCGTTCTTTGACGAGAGCCTACCAATGCATGGAAGGCGGGCCATGGTTGAGGCCCTCGCCTCGAACGAAGGCTCGGAGGACCAAGCTGGCCGCCGTTGATCTCAGCGCAGACCTGACGCAAAACACCCGCGCAGACTTCGTGACCACATCGTCGCGGATGTTCTTCGTGACTCTTGGAATTGACGACGGCTTCCTCGAGACCGACCCTGCCGAGTGGCATGACGACTCCCGCTATGTCGCCGCAGCGGGGAAGGCCAACGGCATCACGGTGGTGAACGACTTCGCCGAGCGTGGCGCCGCTCTGATGGAAGCGTACAATTTGACCCTCACCAAGGATGAGGACCAGAGGCAGTACATACTGCAGGTGGTGGAGGTACACCGTGGAAGGTTTCCAAACGCTAGCAAAGGCACCGTCACTCGGCATCTGCAGTAATGCGCGATAGCATTCGACGCAGATGCTCATATTTTTTCAGGAGGTCCAAGTTTGCCAACTGCCACAAGACGCATTGAGTCTTATCTCAGTTTTTTTATCGTTTTACAATACATCACTAGTTTTCGTGTACCACAGTCTTTTGTTTTATGATTGCATCGTTATGAATAGCTGAGAAACACTGCTAATGGTTTACATACCAGAAAGGTCTACACTGCTGGCGGCTTGGCCCAAATGGCTAAAAACGTATACATTCAAGTTCGAGGAGGCACGGTTAAATATCATCCGATCCGGATGAAACTTTGCATGTGATGTTTTTATGCTATATGGAACCATAAAATGAACTGCCTTTTTGCTTTTTCAAAAAATCAGAAAATAACTGTCACCCTAATGGGCATAGATGGTCTGGTTGCAAAATGGATCACTGGCTTCCTGAGAGAACGTGAGCAGAGGGTTGTGGTGAGAGGCTGCTACTCGGGATGGAGAGCTGTCAGGAGCGGAGTACCCCAGGGTAGTGTTTTAGGACCGACCCTCTTTCTGATATACATAGATGACCTCATGAGGAATTTGGATTCTCCTGGGAAACTCTTTGCAGATGACGCGAAAATCTACAGAAGGATTGGATGCCCCAGAGATGGAACCATTCTTCAAGAGGACATTTGCAAACTAGAAATATGGAGTCAAAAATGGTTGCTGGACTTCAACAAGGATAAATGCAAGGTGATGCACTTTGGTCACAAGAATCCAGGTTACAACTACTCTCTCCAAGGAACGACTTTAACGGCGACTGTTAAAGAAAAGGATCTGGGGGTGATTGTTACTCCTGACCTCAAAGCATCCGAGCAAGTGACCAGGGCCGCGGCAGCAGCGAACTCCATGCTGGGGAGGATAAGAAAAACCTTTACATGTATGGACAAGGAAATGTTCCTGCCTATCTATAAGACACTTGTGCGACCTCGAATGGAACATGCCATTCAGGCGTGGTCACCTTACCTCCAGAGGGACATAAACAAGTTAGAGAAGGTTCAGAGGAGAGCCACGAAACTTATACCAAGATTGGCTGCCAAACCATACGAAGTCCGTCTGGCGGAACTGAACATGACAAGTCTGGAAGAAAGGAGACATAGGGGCGACATGATACAAGTGTTTAAATTGATTCATGGATTTGATATGGTCAATGCAGGAGAAGATTTCTTGAAACTTGAGACATGCGACAACAAGGACAGGACACGAGGGCACGCTCTCAAACTCCAGAAGCCAAGGCATCGCACCCTTAAACGAAATATGTTCTTTTCGTCAAGAGTAATTGAACAGTGGAACAAGTTGCCTGAAGAAGTCGTTACAAGCAAAAATGTAAACATATTCAAGAACAAATATGACAAGCACATCAAGAAGACTACGGAGAGAGGCAGCATCCTATGAGCATCCTGCTCCCTTTGCCTCTTACAGATCTACTTGGTAAGCATCTACTTGGTAAGCAGCCTTCAATCCATTGCTGTAAAGTAATTAGACGGACATCACAACTTACACACATAATTGCACAATCCACTGCAGTGACAAAACAATCGTCATCACAACTGACACCATACCAGTAAGCAATTCATATATGCACCCATCATTGAAAAATTGAACATGAAACCAAAATATTCACCCCTCCCCCAAAATAACATTGAATCTGGCAAGCGGTGAGCCCGCAAACTTACCGTCAACGGGCTGCTGGAAGTTAACGTATGCATATCCCAGTGAACGTCTTGTGATCATGTCCCTGCAGACACGGATGGATAGCACTGGTCCAGCAGTCGAAAACTTCTCAAACAGCATAGCTTCGGTAACGTCAGGGTGAAGATCCCCGACGTACAGAGACGCCATGGGATAGTTTTGGCCTGCTGAGTTCATCTTCTCTGGCTGGGGTTCGGAACTAAGCCACAATAGGGTTTACTTGTTGAGCTATTTTTTGTATTTTTTGTTTTTACACAAAAGTGAGTAAAGGGTGAGAACGCTAGGCGCTCCACACGCCTCACCCACCCTTCTCTACAGCAGAATGATGGCGCCGCACGAGCCAGATTTGTTTTGTTGTTCTTAAAACTGCGCATGCGCAGATCAAAATAGGCGCATGGGCAGAACAAGTAGTACTGATGTTTTCCGTAATTACTTTACAAGTTTCTTTTGATTTCGGTTTTACTTATGCTTAATAATTTTAATATTGAAAAATCAAAAAAATAGGAACAGCTTACGAAAATAAATGCGACTAACCGCCAAAGGGTAAGAGAAGTGACCGCTAAATCAAAAAGAATCCGGAAGAAATGTAATTGTAGCAAAATTGATAGTTAATAACTTATTTATATAATATTTATAATAATAATAATTATTTATATAATAACGCGACTAACTTATTAAGGCGCCGGAAACATTGAAAGCATCAAAATAATATTCTGTCTGTACCAAATGGTCTCGTTTTTAAACATTACTCAATACGAACATGCGAATGTTTTGTGGTCGGTGGTCGCCTTACCTTAGGCGCCTTAGGTATCTGTCAAGCCATCAGCTGCCTTTTGAATTTTGATCACTTCTCAATCTGTCTTTAGGCAGATGGCATTGCTATATCTGCATTCTTGCCCCTAAGAGGCAGCAAACGTTTTAACAATACCTATGAAATGTTTCAGGTATGATGTATTTTGCACAATCACTCTCCCTCCCTATGCTATGGTAACCAAAAGTCAGAAATGTCAATCGTTTCATGCCACGTCATTCCGTTTCACCCCTGTTCAATGTCCACCATGCCTGAAGGCGGTATTTCAGTGTCCTCAGGCGTGGAGGGGAGGAGATGGGAGAGCGTGGTCACCGGTCACTCGGCACTGAGTCGGCAGTCTTCTCCAGAAGTCATGATCGCATAACGGCACGGTCCGAAGGTCAGCCGCGCATAGAAACGGCCTATCTGATATGGCCGCGGGGCATATCAGCCACACCCCACCACACTAGTTGATCAATCCACCCCCACACCCCGCCATCACTGCCGCGCGCAATCTGTGGTCGCGAGCGATTTCACTTTTGATTTCGAGGTCTGCCGCCACGCTCACCGCCGCCTTTCTTCACTCGTCCGTGGTCGGTCCGACGGCGTCACACTCCCACCTTCACCGCCATATCAGCCACCCGAGCCGCCGCCCGCAACACATCGGAGCTGATGATCCAATCAATGTATTGGCCAAGGCATTTTCGCTCGCAGTCGCGCAGCAGTTAAACAAACCAGACTTGAACAAATGACGCGGAGTCCGCACGGACCAAGCACACCAGTCCCTCACGCGGCGGAGAGTTCATGCAGGGCCGCGCAGGTGGCCATCGCACGCAATAACACAAACTGAGGCGATGCACGGCGCGCCGCCGCCGCTCTCCAGGCTACACACAGCGGCCGCGGCGCGTGCACAAAATACCAATGGCAACGGCCTATTCTACGCACTACGGTCAACGGAATGGCGGACTAGCCCGGTGGCGGCCGCGGGCGGTCGGAGGATGAGAGCGATGGCTATGTGCACGTGCTCGGCAGGGCGCCGTGTCGCCGCCGGCGGGCCGGCCTCACATCATTTCGCCGTCGTCTTCGTCGTCGCAGTGGCGGCAGAGGAAGGTGTCGTCCTCGAAGTTGCGCGGCCGCTTGTTGGGCGGGATGCACATGAGGTGGTGCCACCGGTCGCACTTGTCGCAGCCGATCCACGTCTGGCCGGGGCCCGACTCGTCCCACGACTGCAGGCAGATCTCGCACACGGTGCCTGCGGACCAACAGATACAGAACGGCGGGTCAGATTACGGAATACGATACAATGAGATATAGATATACCAGAATGGTCAATTTGGGTGGAAGGCGATATCTGGGCGCCTAGTTATGCCTCGTTCCACTTTGATGAAATACTGTTTATAAGTCTGGAGCACCGTGGCATCAGGGCACCAATCAGGGCAAAACAGTTTCATTTTAAATGAACAAACATGACAGCTTGTCGTAATTTTGCTATAACTGCTAGAAATAGTCACTGTAAGTCTGACTTACCGCCCATGCCGGCCGTGTTGGCTGCCGCGGCGGCGGCGGCCGCTGCCGCTGCTGCCGCCGCCGCCACCGCCGCCGCCTGGCTCTGGCGGCCGCGCTGGCCCTTCTTCTTGCCCGGCTTCGACTGCCGCGGCTGTCTGGGCGTGGTGGGCGCGCGGCGCTGCGACGTCGAGGTCGACGCGAACGCCAGCGGCTCAAGCTTCATGGGTCGCGGGCAGTGGAGCGCGCAGCCCTGGCACTGCGGCATCAGTGTCTCCCGGTACCGGTTGTACGTCTTCTCCGGGTCGGAGGGTTTGATCATGACCGGCCGCGTGTAGGGCCGTGGTGTGACCGGCGGCGAGAACGGCAGGATGCCCATAGTGCGGAACGACGTTCGCAGGTTGGTGGACGTCATGGCGCGCGGGTACGCCTCCGTCACAATCTTGGCGATGTTTCCGCGACACACCATGTGAGCGCCGTACTTCTTCATGTAGGCGGTCCACGCCTCGGGCCAGGAGCCCTTCAGGCTGTCGGGGAGCGGGGGAAGGGGGACATTAGTGAGGCGGTACGGGTAGAGCTGTCGTGGAAGAAAGGAGCTTACTTTGTCAGTACTTTGTTCAACTCATGGACGCCTACCAGCCCGTCGGGCGAGGCGACTCGGTATTAGCATGGTTCGGTCATCATGTAAGCGTGATACGGTGATTTAACGTCTCATAACTACGCTGCGTGGAAAAACACCAGTACTGAAGCAGCCATGCGGTGGAAGGAGTGACGGTCGTTCCCCGGTTAATCGTGAGCCGGTCCATGAATCATCCAGACAGCAATGAATGGTGAGTCACGAGCTAGTCACAGATCCATTCACGATAAAGCAGTTAGGGACATGAACACTCCTCCAAAACAACTACCGTGTCGATAAAACACTGCCACGGAAAAAAAATGATGCATAATGATACCTGATAACAAAGTTATGATCAGGCGGCTACTTGACACCTTAGATCCGTGCGTGATATCATTCATGTTTACGTTTCAGCTTTATTCAGTCTTGTGTGGAAAGCATAAGAAGTCGTTCAAATAACCGCCAAAAGAGCGTTTTTGCAGAAAAGAGGCAGTTCTCTCCCAAATACACTCCCCTCCAATCAGCTCACACACTCCAGCCCACATCATACTCAACCCTGGTCCATTCTGACCATCCATCCATTCAACCAGACACTACTAACCTGATGAAGTAATTCATGTCGGAGCTCATCTGGGAGTTGGTGGCGTACGGCGGCATCACGAACAGCACGATGCCCATCTGACGCGCCACGTGGATGATCTGAGAGAAGATGTGCGGCGACTGGCCGTTGTAGAGCAGCAGCACCGGCCGCTCCACCGGGAAGTAGGTGTCGGCGTGGTACAGGAACTTCACCATCGTGTCAGAGTTCATTAGACCGTTCGGAGATACCTGATGGGGAAAACGGGAAACATCAGTCAGTGGGATGGTGTCGGTAGGCTGGGGTGCCCGGAATGATCGGCAAGGCCCTCTTTTCTAATGATTACACCGACCATGCCAAGAATGTCAGAGGCAGGCACGGCTGGTGAGATAGTATCACAATGAGCACTTAGTCGATCATCCTGTCGGCATTACGATTCTTATTTTGACGACGTCACCGTTTAGACCGTTAGGCTGATCGTTCCGTGTTTACATACAATGGATTACACAATCGGTATCGACTCGAAATGACGCAGGCTAAGAAACCAGCCGGATTGTTTCGACACTCGGAAAACATATTCAAGGCCAAACGTCCTTTTAAGAACGCATATTTCCAATCCAAAACATCCCACAAAAAGTCACCGACGAATTCCCCTTCCCCTCCCGCCCCGCGACAACCACCTCCCCAGTACGTACGGCGCAGCCAGTGCCCGGGTACGCGCCGTCCAGCAGCTCGTTCTTCTTCTTGAAGCCCTTGTAGACGATGAAGGGCGGCAGGGGGTTGCCGTGCGCCGATCCGCAGCCGACCACCGTGGTCATCTCGCGGTCCTCGTCCTCGTCCTCGTCCAGCGACATCTTGGCCGCCGGCGGGAACAGCACCTCGCCCTGGGTAGAGTCGCCGTGACCGATCACAGACTCCTCCATCAGGAAAATGTGGTCCGGCTTGTCCTGAGGCACGCAGACCAGGGAACAGTCAGACACGGGCGAGAGCGAACGTAGAATGGCGTTTGAAAGAGTATATTGGAACGTTTTGGAGTGTCGACGTAGGTGGCGTTGTTGCCGAGTCGTGATATAACGTGATTCTATTGATAAAAATGGTAAAATTGACCTTATGCTCATAATATCAGATGAATTAATTGAAAAAAGGTCCAATTGGACCTTTTTTTCAATTAATTCATCAGATATTATGAGCATAAAGTCAATTTTACCATTTTTATTGATTACAATCATGCTCAAAGAAACGTTGTACCATATAAAACTATGATTTTATTGAGTGTGAAGCGAGATGATATTTGTTAATCAGAATGATATTCGCGGATCCGCTGCTAGCGCCTAAAGAATCGGTCTGATCTGTTGCTGATTTTCGGCAGTGTGGCCAAATTGGTTTAGCGTTAGGGGGAGGATGTATAAAAAAGTCGTATGAGGATGTCACTATTTTCAAAAAACTCGTCTTCAGTGTCATTTTAGGTGCAGTTTTTACAAGTTATGTGGAAAAACTATACCTGACGTCAAGCTCTGGTGGAAAGTAAAAAAAAAAAATCAAATATTGTCGTCAAAGATGAAAAACATTGCAAGCGCGACAGTACGAGTATGACGGTGTGAATCGTACATTGGAACATTTTTAGTCTTTATTCCTTCACTAGGTATGCTTTCACAACAAAAACGTTGTGATGATGCAATTTTAAAATTTCTGAGGATGTCATGATACTTTTCATTGGGGGTGACTTTCCCCGCAACATCACCAATTTGGCCACACTGATTTTCGGTGAAACTGCGACTGTGCCATTGACGGCATATTCGGGGCCGGCGAATGTACCGTGCAGCCACTAACATACGGGTGACCGTTATCAGGGCGTAGCACGTACTATCCAAGTGGTCTGTTGAGCGGCTGATAAGCCATGGCAACGAATGCCTGTGAGCGATTTAGTGCACACTAAACCTTTTAAATGAAATTCCAGGCTGAAGCGACTGGCGAAAACATTGATCCGTTCTTAAAACCGCTAATATGCGCGCTGTGCGTGACGTACCTTTATGTCATTGTCGTCGAGCAGTTCCTCCAGTCGGTAGTAATAGTTTGCCATTGCCTCGTTCCTGCCTAAGATCTTTCCGGTTGTGGGCACCACCTGCAAGACAGAATCACAAAAATACCTAGCTTAGCAACAACGGCAGCATACAAAACAACGAAAGCACACAAACGGCTTAGCAACAACAGCAGTCCGTCGACAAACGTTCGAAACAACAACCAGTTTGCAGCTAAAGGTACGTAAATCCAGAGCTTGCCGTGTTAAATTTACCGGGAAAATGTCTACCACATCACCACTAGCGACGGGCGTTTGGAGTTCACACAACTCCCACCGGATCAATGACAGTGACACCAGTACAGGGGTTCAGCGAACACAGTCGACTGTTCCCGGACCCCTTCCACACCCGCCACACCCCACATTCACCCTCCTCACCTTGCGTTTTCGGACAGTGAGCTCGGGACAGCGGGTCATGAAGCGTTTCAGGTAGCTACGGTGCGGCAGGTCGTCCTTGAAGGCCGACTCCTCTGGGTAGAGGTACTGCTGCACCTCTGCGATCAGCTCGAGGAACTCCTTGGTACTGTAGCTGTGGCCCAGGTCGGACATGTCGGCCGCGTGCTTCATAACGCTCTGCTCGACGTCGGCGGGCAGCGCCGGCGCTCGGCCCGGACGGTTCACCTTCACCTGGGGGCGACGCCATGGCACACAGCGCGTCAGCGGCAGCGCAGCGGAGGCAGTGCACAAGGACAGCATATATCTATATAGCTCCTACATACGCTTGTTTTCACTGGATTCCGTTCACAGCCAAGCTAAGGGAACATTCTGGTCAATCTATTAGCTAACGCATAATAATAGTAGCGAATCCGCCGTCAGCAGACATTTGCCGGCTCTGAATGCATATACTGCTGCTAGCAACGGATTTATCGAATGTCTGTCTACCAGCAATAGATTCCGACCGATTTATGCTGTTGCAAGTCCAGTGCGTCAATGATCGCCTGCTGTATTAACCAAAATCCGTCGCTGATATATAAGATGCGCTTGAAATATGCCGTGCAATTGTCGCTTGTCGTCAGTAAACAGTTGAAATCAATTTTATTCCGGTTAACAACTGGCGATCGGCGGGAAATTCAGGCAGCGAGTCAAAGAAGCGGGCCCGCCCCCACCCACCGAATACTATTGTCAGGACCCGTCCCCTAACCTCGGGGTCTTTCAGATGTCGCCGCACCGTCGACTCGGGCAGGTTGAAGAGGCGCGACGCGCGCCGGCACGGGATCTCGTCCACCTCGACGGCCTGGATGGCCATCTTGAGTCGCTCGATGCGGTCCCAGCTCTCCTCCTCGCCGACCACGTCCTCCTGCTGCAGCTGCAGCGTCTCGTCGGTGAACTCGATACCGCCCGACTCCATGCCGGCGTGGTCCTCCATGGCGTGGCCGACCATGGTGTGGCCGACCATCGTGTGGTCCACCATGCCCGAGTGGTCCACCATCACTGTCTCGTCCATCATGGCGCCATCTGGCGGACAGCAGTCGATAAGGCCCGAGCTGGGACGAGCTATGCGGGAAATACAACGGTGGCGTTACAAACTGGCACAGAGTGACCATGATACATTCAGATCATTAATTCATCAGTTGATTCAGTTCAGAAATGAGTGACACTTTCAATGGTGTTACAGAGATTTGAATGAGTTTGAATATGCAGCCAGACCTCTGTGGAATGAAATGACACAAAACATACAATGCTGTAGGTTGCAGCTTATTCTATTCTGATGCACCATGTTCCTTGCTAGCCAATACAGTTCAAGTATTAGAAGGAAAATGTTACCTTACAAAAACAGCACTGTAATAAATATATTATCACAGCTATGGATGGCATTTTGGTAGAAAACTCATTTCACAATAAACCAACATAAATGTGGTGTTCATTAAGAACATTTTCTCTGCATATGATTGTTTCTCTTTTTTCCTCATTTCAGACTAAACTATGTACAGTGTTCTAGCTTTATCATGGCAATGGGACTAGGCAATATGAGTTGCATGACAAACAATGACAACTTTTACAAGGTTGCTTTCCTACACCTACGATAAGAAGTGCTTTCCTTCTCAGTTCTCACCAACCAGAGCATGTTGATACAGTGGCTACCTTGCATGAAATTACGCACCTTCTTCGAGTATTTTGAGTAGGTAGGAACCTACTGCTAACCAGTGTGCTAGGAGGGAAGAATAAGGTGTACAATGACAACCACTTACCATTCATTTTCTTTTTCTTTTTGCTAATTGAAGCTTAACTTTCCATTTCTTTCAAAAAATGAAAGTAAATTTTTTACTTATTTTGAAAGTTAGCTCCTTTGCCAAACGCTAGGAATGAGGTGCCTACTTTCCATAATCATTCTGCTTCTCATGCTTCAATTCATGCTTATTGCTTAGTGTGTTCAGTTCCCTGATATGTAAGTACCTACCTAGTTGATAGGAACCTTGGTATCAGTGAAAACTGAAGTTGAGGTCCAGATGACTTTTCAAGAATAACTTTTGTTCCTTATGATTTTTAATGCCTCGAAGCTACAAATGCTACTTTATGGTGCAGCAAATATACCTAATGATAATACACTGAGGTTTCACCTGACCCAACCTATTCTGACTTGAACCATTCTGACTTAAAAGTTGAATTCTGACTTGAGCCAGGACATCTGCAAGAGGTACCTAGGCATTAGGTGTTGGCAGGTATTACAGGCAAGTTTAGGTTAGGAAAGCTTAGATTACCTTTGGTTGGGTTAGGCTTAGATTAGGCTAGATAGGTCAGATACAGTATGGTGAGGTGACACCACCTCAATTATCATGCAATTTGCTGCACTAGTAGGCATCATTTTTTAGATGACAAAAATAAGCAGAGGAACAACATATTGCCCTCTTTGATATTGCTGTTTCATTTATCAATAGGTAACTACCCCTTTCAGCAAAATAAGGGCATTTCAAAGGTTATCAATAACGATACAAATATTCAAATACATTGTCCACACTTTATTAATAATTCCATCTCAATCCACAATAAGTAAACCCTTGTATAATGGTAAAACTGACCTTGCAATGCTGAATTAACCACTTTTTTGCTATTTCTGGTAAAAACTTTTAACCCAACCACTCGGCTCAGATCAATTCCTGATCCACAACGCCAGTAGGTATATAGCTACTGATCAAAATCACAAGTGATGGTGAGAACCATATACCTGTTCCAGCATCTTTCTATGCTCTGAGCAATATTTAGACTTCATTTTCATTACTCAGACATAGCATCTACCTAAGCTGGCAATCCAAAACACCTATTATGCCTTTCGTGTTGTTGTTATAAAATGGTATCGCCGCAACGCCGCAACAGCGCAATAATCCAAACGCAGAAATTTTAAAAATCGTCCCGGCACGAATTACTGCGTCATTATCGTAGTATGGTTTGCGGCATTCAAATTACATGCATAGTAATGCATAAAAGGTATGCCTTTATGACGATGGATTGAAGAAGATTGAATTATTACTCACCGAAACCGGACATTTACCAATACTTGATTAAATTATATTCTGAAACCTCTCCTCCACGCACAACCAAGATGTCTGCGTCATGTACGCCGTTTGCGCCAAGTACGAGGAGTGGCGTTCGAATAATAATTTAGAAAATACTTTATAAGGTTTGAGGCGCAGTTTGCCTTATTTTGACATGTCAAAAATATTTATTATTTTCAAAAAATATAATATATTGATTGAATCATCCATACTTTGGTCAAAACATTTCAAAATTTGACAAAGTAGAAACTACATTTGGTGTTCATCCGCCACTTGTGTACTCTGCTATTATGATTGGAAGACAAGGCAGAAGCGGCGCAGTATGTTTACGATGATAATTCCCGCCAAATTTGAGGTAAATATTTGTTTACTGAAAAAAAAAATATGAGATAAATTTGCTTGTATTTTTTAGGTAGATTTACGTTCGATATGGATTATGGATGGCATTGAGGTTTATGAAGATTTGATGTACTAGCGCTATCTGCCGGTAGGCAATGGGCACTTATGCTTTGTAGATGGCGGTAGTATATAAAGGATTGGATGGGATTCGCGGAATAAAGTACGTATCGCAAAATTACGTAGGACAAAAGTACGCACGCAAATGTACGTATGCAAAAGTACGTAAGCGATAAAGCACGTAGGACAAAAGTACGTACGTACGCAAATGTTCGTACGCAAAAGTACGAACGCAAAAGTACGCACAGTAGGTATAAAGCACGTAGGACAAAAGTACCTTGCAGCTACAACTTTATCTATTCTATTGACGTCTTCTTTTTTATCACTCCGCATTAAAAAAAAAACGCCAATCAAAGCCATCCGTTGAGATTGGTAAAACCGCACATTACTTTAGCGGTGGGCTGCGCCTACAATATAAGGTGCGTGCGTAGCGTAGGACAAAAGTAGGTAGGTAGGTAGGGGAGAGTGGGGTAAGATGCCCAGGGTGGGAAAGACGCCCCACCCCCTCTAGCGGCGAAACAAAGAATCGAACCTGGAAATTAATGTTCTTAGCGTAAAGCGGAAGCCTGCCTTGTTGACTGCACAAAAATTTGCGAAGCTCAGTTGGGCAACGGCTGGCTGGTGATTGCATGTTTTTTATTTGCTGCTTTCAAAAAATATTTTGGTGTCAAAACATTGTAAATATCAAAGAAGGTAGATAATTTTTGAGTCCCTTGCTATAGTCGTGATACATTAACATGCATGTACTGTGTCCTGAACAGTTTGTTTCAGAGTGTAGTTTTATGGCTAACAAATTGTACTGATTTAATGTTGCTTCGGTAACTTGGGGTAAGATGCCCCCTGTCCTGATGGGGAAAGACGCCCCCCTAAATCCGTAGACTGTCCTTCAAGCAGCCCGTCAAATCATTTATTACATAGGTACTTGTGATGAGAGACAAAAGCCGATCTGGGACTATTGAGAGTCCAGTACGGTTGGGTGCTCCCCATGCCGGTCTCTCGGCACACACAGCGACTTTTTGGGCGGCATCTGACTCTGAGAGCCCTCACGACGGCCTCTGTGGGCCCCATTATTGGCTCCAGGGCCCCTCACGACATCCTTTGAGGGCTCCCACGTTGGCTCCACGGGCCGCGCTGGCATCTGAGGTCCCCACGATGGGCTCGAGGGCCCTCAAGCATCATGAAGACCTATAAGGGCCCCACAGTGGTCTCCGAACGCCACCACGGAGGCTTGTTTGGCCGCGCTGGACTATGATGGCCCTAACGATGACCTCTGAAGCCCCTTACGACTACTTTTGAGGGCCCTTACGATGACGTTTGGTGTCTACTGCAGTCTCGAAGGGACTACTGATTCGTTCAGGCGATTCACGTGCCCATTTATGCCACTTATAGTGCAGGGGGCATCTTCCCCAACGCCAGGGGGGCGTCTTTCCCACCCTGTGGGGTAAGATGCCCCCTTTCACTTCTTCAGGAAAATGCTTAATAGCAAAAAAAAGTTATCATATTTCAGGCACGAAAGTGTGATATTTTTGGAGAAAAATGATGTCGGCTTCCGTTGAAACTCCAAGTTTTTGCTTTCCGATCGTCATTTTCGAATAATATATGACAAAGTAAAACCCTGAGCATCCTTCCCCACTCTCCACTACTACGCAAATGCTCGTGCGCAAAGTATGTAGGTACATACGTATGCAAAATGACGCATAGTATAAAGTACGTAGGAGAAAAGTACGTACGCAATTGTTCGTACGTAATAGTACGCATGCAAGTTTCATTTCTCTATCTCTTCGCATTGCGACAATATAGGCGGATTGCCCGCCCCCCCCCCCCCTCCTCCGCCAGGCCAGGTCGGGTCAGGTCAGGTCAACCAGTCGAGGTTCTGCGGAGTATTTGTAGTAGGTGTCACAGCCTCTGACAGCTTCGGAACATGTTACGAACACGAAGGCACCAAAACTACTTCGTAAATGATCATATGGTTGCTAAATTCGAATTCAGCTCCAAAAACTAGCCAATCTAAGAAAGCAGCTCAGCAAATCACATGTTTGAACGCTTGAAACCACGAAAAGACTGCAAACGCGCGGCTAATGCGAGGCGACATACGCCGAATCGCGATTCCGGTCAAACATGGTCTCGGAAAAGAGGTCACAGGTCAAAGGTCATTTGGGTCAGGGTCATACCATTTTCAGGGTGGGTGTAAAATTGATTAACGCGAGGGTACTGGAAGTTTCCTCGCGATCGGCCGCTTTTTCAAAAAGCGGCCGATCGCGTAGTGTAGTACGCGAGTACACTCGCGTAGTACGCGAGTTATTCGCGAAAAACCGAGGGGGGGTCCATTCGACCCCCCCCCCCCCATACGGGCGAGGGTTTTAATACCGTAGGTATTCGTGCACTTGCGACGCGAACTTTTATCCTTGACGTTTTTTTTTTTTTTTGTCCATACTTACTTTATGCCGCACGTACCTTAGCGATACCTACCTACTTTTGTCCTTGACTTACGTTTATCCTTGAAGTACTTTTGTCCATACTTAGTTTATAATATCCGTACTTTTGCGATACGTGTTTTCGTCCTTGACGTAGTTTTGCCCGACGTACTTTGCACTCTACGTACTTCTGCGATACGTACTTTTGTCCGACGTACTCAGTCCAGCGGTGTAACTTTCTATATGTATGGGGGTGCAGGTGCACCCCCATCCCCTGAAAGTGCACCCCCATCACGTCAAAGTGCACCCCCATAGGCTAAGCGGCGCCCCACACGCTGCCCGACACCGATAAGCTCTTGAACAGCAGATGGTGAGGGTGATATCCCGGCTACATTCCGTCTCGTGACCGGCGTCGTGCTGCCTGCGGGCTTGGAAAGCGTCCAGTCGTATCGTTCCCCAAAAATGGGTGAAAGGGGCACCCCGGCAAGAACGGGACTTTCTCAGCAAAAGTGGAGCGCCCGAGGCAGAAGTGGGGCACCTCCAACGTAGGTTGGGATCGTCAAGCATAAGACTGGCAGTGGCGCCCCAGCGGAGGAGAGGCGCCCCCAGTAGGAATGAGGCCCCTCAAGCAGAACTTGAATTCGCCCAGTAGAAGAGCGCCCTCAGTAGAACACGGGCGACCCCAGCAGAAAGGGGCGCCTCACCAGCAGAAGGGCGCCCTACCAGAAGAAGGGCACCCCAGCAGAAAGGGGGAGCCCAACCAGAAGAGAGATGCCTCCAGCAGAAAAGGAGCGCCCTCAACACAGGAATGGCTACCCAGCAGAAAGGGGGCGCCCCACCAGAAGAGGGATGCTTCCAGAAGAAGAGAGGCACTCCAATATAAATGGGGCACCTCAAGCAAAAGTTGGGCTCGTCCAGTAGTAGTGGGGCGCCCCCAGCAGAAGAGTACCCCCAGCATAGGGCCACCCCAGCAGAAAGGGGCGCCCTACCAGGAGAGGGATGCCTAAAGAATAGAGGCGCCCCAATACAAAAGGGGCACCTGGAGCAAAAGTTGGGTTCGTCCAGCAGCAGTGGGGACCCAGCGGCCCCGGCGGAAGTGGGGCATCCCCAGCAGAACAGGGGCTCCCCAGCAAAAGAGCAATGCCCCCAACAGATATTGCCGAGCACCTTTAGCAGAAGAGTACGCACCCGCAGAAGAGGGGCGGTTTCACCAGAAGAGGGGCGCCGCCACCAGAAGATGGGCGAGGGCGCCTCCAGCAGAAGAGGGGCAGCCCCGCAAAAGAGGGGCGCTGCCCGCAGAAGGGGGCGCATACAATAAAAATGGGACACCTCAAGCGGCATTTGGGCTCGCCGAGTAAGAAGGGCGCCCTCAGTAGAAAGGTCGAGCGACTTAAGCAGAAGTTGGGCTCGCCCGGCAGAAGAGGGACGCCTCTAGCAAAAATAGGGCATACCCGGGAAGGGAAGTGTCAGTCTCCAGCAGAAAAGTGTGAGACCCCAGCAGAGGAGGAGCGCCCATCAGAAGCAAGTCCCGCCGAGCAGAAGAGGGGTGACCTCAGCAAGAGAGAGGCGACCCCAGCAGAAGAAAGGCGCCCAATAAAAAAGGTGATTCCAGCAAAAGTGGGTGTCACCAGTCGCCGAGCGTAAAAAGGGCACCCCGATTCTATAAAATTTCGGAATGAAAAAGCTAAATGCAATTTCGTTATAAATTTGATTGATTGATATTCGTGCAAACGAATTTAATGTCATTTCGTAATACCCAATTTTGTACCATTGGACTCTAACATTGGGGTGTTTAGTGCTCTTACAATTAAAACTGCACATGAAAAATATTCATTTTATTTGAAAAGTTCTTGTACCTATAAGTAGAAGCCTTGAAGTTGACGTTTATCGGTGCGCCGGTTAGAGGGCCTCCGGCCTTGGGCCTTGGGTTAATATAAATGAACTGCAATCCCATTTGCAGCATCAGACTGTGTTCAAACTAAATTGGAGCAACACAAAATGGTGATCACTGAATTTCGAAATATACCAACAAAGCATTTTACCAAAATTGAGAGACATTAAAATGGTGATAACGACTCACTGGATTGTAGTTGAATGAAACA